AGGGGGAGCCCGCGGCGTGGGAGCCTCCGTGGGCGGAGGGCGCCTCCGTGGGAGCCTTGGCGCTGTTTAATGGGGCGTGAAATACCACACGGTGCCTTCAGCGCTGCGAGCGGAGTCCCGGGCGGCGGAGGTGGTGGTACCTGGGGTGGTTCTTAAACCTCCCCCCCCCCCCCAAAAAAAAAAAAAAAGCGGGTTTTATTTGAAGTTTGCTGTTTTGCTGCAGGTTGTGCCCGGTTTCCCGCCTGGAAACGTGGCCGGGCGGGGATGGGGCTCTGGACAGCGGCTCTCCGGCCTGGCCGTAGCTGCTGGGGCAGGCAGGGCCGGGGGGCGGGGGGGGGGGGGAGGTAACCAGGGGGACGGTGGTGGGTGTTAGTTACTCAGCGCTAACTAGTCCTCTCCCTCCCGCTGGCCTTTGCTGCTAAGCAAACTAGTTGGTTTGCAGCACGTACTCCTGCGTGCAGAAATTGTTTATTCGTTCGGTGGGGTTTTTTTGCTGTTTGTAAGCCATCTACTTAATTTTCTATAAAAAGACTTATGATTTTTTTTGCAGTGAGCTTTTCTCAGAGATAGAAGCAAAGATTTTCTTTTATTTTTAATACAGGAGTTGCTCAGGGTGATGAGGACGATCGATGACAGAATCGTCCACGAATTAAACACTACGATTCCAACAGCTTCCTTTGTGGGGAAGATTGATGCCGGCCAGACGTGTAAAGAGCTGTACCAGTCTGTGAGTGTGCACTCCTTAGACTTTCAGCTCACTTGCTGATGTTTTATGAAGTGCAGTGGCCAGTAGAACGTCCTCAGTTTCTAAGGAAACCCCTGCCTTGGTATATCGTACTTTATGTATCCGTAACTGGCACGCTCAACTTCTCTACGCAGCTAAACGACACACATGTAACAGCTACTTCAGTTTAAAACTGCGCAGGGAACTTGTTCTGCAATACCGATCCTTCGAGGTGTACTTCAGGCTTCAGTGGATGGCATTAGTCCAGTCCGCTTTTAAAAATGGCTGCTAGCACGCTTTTGCGCTACTTTGCAAGACTCCTGCTCATGTGTGTCTTTGACTTTTGATCAAGTTGATAGCTGCTGCTGAAAGCAGTGTTGCTTCCAACACGTGGATTATAGAGTCAAAGGGGTTTCTATAGGCACAGCAATACCTTGACTGCAGAAAGTCTCTCTTAAACGTGTAACTCAGAGGCTTTTATTCTCTGCTGAACTAGTCGTTGTGACTTTCTTTCTCTCCCCACTTAGTTGATGGATGCTCACACCAGCAGAGAGAGAATCATCAAAAACTGCATCGCTCAGACTTCCAGTGCAGTGAAAACTCTCAGAGAAGAGAGGGAAAAGGCGCAGGATGACGTAGCATTATTAAAGCAACTCAGGAAAGAGCAGACAAAGGTGAGTGGTGGAGCTTTTTAAAGGTCTCTTAGAGAGGAAGAAGAGGGCCTCTTTCCCAAATGGAAAGAGCAGTGTGATGGAGAGAACCTGAAGTCAATCCTGACTCACGCAGTCTTTTCCAGGGTTCTTATTGGCTAGGTTTGTGAGAATGATTTTCCCTAGCCCACAAGGCAGAGCTGCTTTTATCCTGCAAGTGGAGCATTTTCTGAGATCCCATTGCACAAATGCTGTAGAAAAACATGTACTTCCCCATGGTGGACTCTAACCTTCACTGACTAACACCACTTAGCGTACAACTTACCTGTGGCTTGCTTAGTCTTTTCAGAATGCCTGAAGGTTCATTTTGCCTTTTTGAGATCTTGTAAAACTAGTATATCTGCAAACGGCAAGTATGGGTGCCAAGATGCAAGCACCAGAAGATAATGAAATATGGTTTTTGTATATGTCTCTTGCACCACACAGTCAGACAGCCTTAAAGCTGTCCCTTTTCGTCATCACCCTGAGAAGCATCGTTCTTACTCGGTGTGTTAATTGGAGTTCCTGTCCTCTATGAGGAGCTGCCAGGCAACCTTGAATTCCACTTAACCAGCTTTTTTGTTGTTTAGTATTTCTCGGATTAATTTTTTTGAATACCTTATAATGGTGTGAGAGAGACTTCTGGGTTTGCATAAGGAATTTTAATGGGCAAACGCCCTCTCAATCTTCTGGCCTCTGGATGGAAAATGTCCTTTACCAGAGGTGAACAGAGGTGATCTAGATGGAGTATCAGAAGTGGAGAAAGGAACCCTACTGAAGTCCTTGCCCCAGTTCCAGGGCCTCCTCTGTACAGGAAAGGATACTGCATGTGTAGCTCTAGGGGTGGAGATTAGCAGGGGCGTGAACTGTTCCACTGATTTCTCTTCCAGACCTGCTCTGTGTGGCTCGTGATCACTTTACATATTTTTTCCACACCATATGCTTGCAGCACATACCAAATAAGACTGCTTGCATATTGCTTTTTTTGCATACACTAGCTAGGTGTGTCTGTTGTGTTCAGCAGTTTACTGAGCCATCCTCTGTTGAGGACTGTCTTAACCAGTGCTTCTGAGTTCCCAATGTAACAGTGAGTTCTTCTCATAACAGCCAGACATCCCACCATCATATATATATATATATATGGTGTCCCATATAGGGTCGTATATCCTGGGTGCAGCTTTCCCTGCTGCAGTACTGTAAGACTTGAAGAGATTGGTCCTGAATTTTGCTTTTGCAGTGCTGAACTTCCTCAAAATCCACTTGCCCCTGTACGTCCAAGAGGAGCCTGTTGTAGCCCCTATTTCAAAGAGCAGTTGAACGCTGATGCGGTTGTAGTTAAAGGGCTTCATGAGGAGATGATTTGAACTCAAGCATCTGATTTTTCCCAGGCATTGTCAGTGAGCTGTTTGTTCATGTGCTCTTCAGAGAAGTGCTCTGTCGTGAGCTCAGATTTAAAGAACCACGTGGCAGGCGAGTGGTTTTCTTCTTAAAGCCTCACTTACGGAACTGCTAGCAAGCATCCATATTAGTCTGGAAAACTAGGATGGTAGCTTAGTATTTTCTGCAAATTTTGTTTACTCACTGAGCCCAAAACCTATAACTCACTAGGAGGATCACAATGATGTTTAATAATTGGAGGTGATTTCAAATGTTTAAAGCAATCCATGATTTGGAAACATCCTGGAAATCTTTTGACGAGATGACCTCAAATTTGCACTTGTACTTTATGAGGTGTCATCACCCTGCTTTTTTATTTTTGTTCTCTGTAAGAGTTGTGTTTTTTCTAGAACTTGAATAAGCTATCTTGAGAGAACACATCCTACATTTAAGATGATGCATTTCAAGTATATGTTCACTGGGTTGCAATACAGATCTGTTTTCTCTTGTTACTTGTGTTTCTCTCATCCTGCTAATAGTACAAATTGGAGTACTTAATCCAAAATTGTTACTTCTGGGTCACTGAGTAAGAAAACTTGGAGTAGTGTCGGTCTAGGAGCCAATTCTTTTAGCCCACTTACATTAAAACATCATTTGATTATTGTATCAATTTGTTATTGTCTTAGTTTACTTGAATGAAGTGTCATAAAGTATCCAACCAAATAAATTCTGGAAATCCAAAGCATACAGCATAAAGCTAATAATCATTATCAATCAAATTAGTAAGGCTTGTTAACATGTCAGCATATGTTTTAAAAAAACAACAAAACCAAAAGCCCCTGTATAGGGGTTAATATATATATACACACACACTATATTGCTGTTCAGGTCTGCAACTCTAAGGAAAAGACTAAAATAGTAGTTTTGCTTAGGCTTGGTGTCAACACCAATTAATGTGACGGTCCAGATGATTGTAAATGTATTCACATCCTCCAGCAGGAGAACCATTTCTTTGAACTGCTAAAGATCTTCTGAGTGGTTATTTTATAGAGATTAACCCTGGTCATCTAGTCACCCTGTTGGTGCTGGATTGTTATTTTGAACAGTTTGGGGTCCTACTGAGTAGGTAGAAGTTCATCCAACGTCTGTATTAGCTGTGTGTGTCTGGACATCTTACTTGGAAGGTTTTTGATGGGATTGCTGTCTTAGCTCGCACCTGTTCAACAGCTCTCCAGTTGGAACCATGTACTTAAAATGGATAAATTCTGATCCTTAGTCTGTTGTGTTAAAGACTCCAACACCCTAATGTAGGCAAAAATGGCAGATGGTTCTTACATCTCCTACTATTGCTTCAGGGCCTCATGGCAGGGTCAGATTACCACCGGTCACCTGAACACAACTGTCACACATGCCTCTTGGGAGTTTCTAATAGGTGCAAAACAAAGAGATTCTTATGTGTTTCTCACGGGTTGAGCGAGTGCTCAAGAACTGCGTATTGTGGTAGTTCTTGCCAGAGCTTTTGCATCCATGTAAACCTGATTTGTCCTACTGTGATCACATAACACATTAACCAGTTTAGATAGCATGAACTTAAGTGATCTGTCCTTGTAGAACCTGTTTTGGTCAGTGCAGAGTAGATGGAAAAGCAGGCGGAGGGGATCTCTTTATGATCTTAATTCTGAATCCAGAATCTGAGATCTGTGTGTTCAGTCCTATCTTTGCTGCCAGCTCCCTATATGACTCTAATAATATACGTGTGGAAGAATGACAACTCAAGGCTTCAGAGCTAACGCTGGCACTGGCATTCCCCGTGCCAAGTGCTTCAATTAGGCATAGTTATTTTTGTCTGTGAAGCCATTAACGTTAATCAGTTAATTGCTAGCAAATCTTGATGCGCAATATTTAAGAATGGAGCATTGGTAATCAGGAGCTGCTTCTGCCAGGCTTGCACTGGGAGTCTGCCTTCACTGTGCCCTGCAGGCTTCAGTCTGCCTCGAGTATTGGCTGAATGGAAGGGCCAGATTTTCAGGATGATTACGCATCGTGCCCTTCAGTTTGCACAATTGGAGGGGATGCGCCCCTGGTACTGGGGTTGTGATCTAGAATGGTTGCAATGGTAGTAAATACTGAAGGCTGCAGGGAGGCCTGTTTGACAATAACCTCTTTATCTGTTACTTTCTGCAGTTGAAATTGATGCAGTCAGAGCTGAATGTTGAAGAAGTGGTAAACGACAGAAGCTGGAAGGTACTCAGTCATTTAAAATAGTGATGATGTTCTGTCCCAACAGACAGTCCTGCACTGGAGGTGTGGGACTGGTGCCTTTATAAGGCAGGTTAATTAGAAATGGGTGAGGGCAGTGCTAGGGGAAATGTTTCGGATCAGTCATTTTCCCAGTTCTGGATGCAGAGATGTGTTGTTTCATGCAATAGACCCTTACAATGTTTTAGAGTGTATTTCCAGTACCCTTTAAGACGTATATGCCCTTAAAATGTCTTTGACAAACAATGGACAAAAATGGTGCAATTTGCTTAGTATTAAAATGCAACCCTTTGTGGGTCTTAATTTCTACAGTTTCCTTCTATCACTTATCTGATCTCAGACCTTTACGTACTCTTAACTGTTCCAGAGGTGTCCGTTGCATATGGTAATGTGGTGAGACAAGCTGGCTGTGTGCGTGTGAAAGAAACTATATCACAACTTTTGTTTTCTGCAATACGAAGCAGTTTCCAATACGTGTCTGTTTCTTAAAGTAAATTAAATCTGAAAATAAGTTGAAAATTACTCAAAAATTGTTAAGAATCAATGCTAAAACTAATGTGTGCTGCAAACTTCACTTTTGCTGAAGTTGCTATAGATTCTGAACGCTGAATAAGGAGATCAGCTGTAGAAGATTCTAGGAAGATATGGTTTAAAATAATGTATTTATATAGATGTGATGGATAACTTCCCCAAAATTACAAGACCATTTGCATGTGAAGCCAATGGGAGAGTTCATGAAACTTGACATCCTGAAGATCACAGGCATTTGGAGCTGAAAAGTCTCTGGACAGCTTGGCAAAACGTGCTCTTGCAGGAGTGCTGGGGGGTAAACTAATAACCGCCAGTGCCTCACCTTGGTGCTAGGTGGTGCTCATGTCGCTTTTCAGGACAAGTGCTGGACAAAGTTTGGAGCCAAAATGATAAATAACTAAATCACTTTTAAAGAGCACCTGTAACTTTTTTGAGAGCCTATGTGTTGTGCTTTTGATTCAGACTGCCTTACTTTAAATAGTCACATTTATTGGCCCTTTTATTGGCACATTTATTGTCAAGCAGTCTGCTTGACAAGGCCTGCAGTTCAAGCTAAATGAACACAATCTTCAGTCTCTAGTTCTGTGTACTAAATTTTACCCAGAGAAGGTGCCAGAGGTGAGTGAGGTGAGAGCAGTGTGTCCTTTGCAATAGGAGGGCTGGCAGCATCAGCACCTGTGGTCAGATAAATAAAAGTCTGAACGTGGCTTCCAAGAGCCCTTGCACCTCTTTTTGGCTGTTACAACAATGCAAAATGCATTTACTCAGGAAAGAGAAAATAGTGTCCAAATTTGAATGCCAGATTGAACTTAACAGAACACAGCTGGTCAGGAACCTTCCACTGATAATTTCCCTCTTTCTCAAAAAAAAAAAAAAAAAAAAAGGCATCATCATCTTTGAGGATAACAGACTACCAGGATTATAAGCATACCTTATCTGAGGGAGAACACTTTTAGTGCTGTGCAGTCTCCCAGCATCAGGCTGCAAACCTTGGATTCACTAAAGCCAGGAGAGAAGGTGAATGGAGACAGATGCCTTGGTAAGTACCATTTATTGGTACAGCAGGGCTGGGCAGCTTGAGATGGGTGCTGCGTGAAGCGATAGCTGTCTGAACTAGCTCTGAAGTTCTTATCTCCTGCATGAGGGCTGATTCGCTTTTGCTTTTCTGTTTTGGTGTCTCAGGTATTTAATGAGCGTTGCCGAATTCACTACAAGCCTCCAAAGAGTCAATGATGTGGGGTATTTTCCATCAAGGTGGTCCATAACCATGAGAGCCAAACTGGAAAGAGACCTTGGGTGAGCTGTATTGGGACCCTCCAGAACCAGTAGAACCCAGTCTTGTTTTGTTTTGGACCTGCTTAGCTGAAATCTCAAGGTTGAAATGATTCTCCTGTAATTAAGAGAAAACGACTCATCTTTTGTACAAAATATGTGAACAAATGAGTTTTATAGTATTAAAATAATTTTCAAATGGAATGTGAAACTGGCATCTTTCTTGAACTTCTACAGCTTCAGCAGGCCTAGAGGGGAAGAAACAGTAAAAGCCATCTCTGAGCAGGGAGGACAGGTCTCTCCCTGAACTGGTGCTTGCCAAACTATCAGGGAACATGGTGTATTTGTGTGAATAATCTACTAAAATCCGAAAGGAAATAAAAATTGCAGAATGATCAGCAAGCATAGGTTCAGCATCCCTGAAAGTAGAAGCTACCAGCATCGTTCCGAACTACTCAACACTAGCAGCATTGGTTCAGAGTTGCACATGGATACAGGTTTGCTATTGTTCCCACAATGCTGACAGGCAGTGTCTGTTGCATACTGTTCTTTGGTCTGTGTTACCAGGTTCTGGATTTTTTTCTTTAAATAGGGATTAAATTAATTAAATTATTAATTTAATTGAATTAATATTATT